GTACCGGCTAGCGGGTACTATTTCACAGTTTTCTGGCCCCATAAGATCGAGGTTCTTTCCAGGCCAACAACCAGGCTGAGTTGGGCTGAGTATGCTAAACTAGAGAGAATTGGCTACAACTACAACAAGATGAACACATTTTACCGTGATTTAATTGTAATACACGTTTCAAAAATGATGCCGAAGTAACAACATACTGATACCGGATAGTAAAAACCATGAATTAATGCTTTGACAAGTCTGCAGACAGACGGCAGGCGAAAAACCTTTTAAAATGCGTGTGTTCTAAATGGAGTTTGGCTAAGCTAACGTTATATATGCTCCGACCGTCCACACTCACAACAACGGCCAACAGACATAAATAAACCAGCGACTGTATTCGCCATGACACAGACAGTATGTGGTTTGTACTTGTTTAACTTTTGTCTAGTTTCTGAACAGATATGAAGAGCTCTGAGTGCTAAGAGCTAACGGCTGTGTGGTTTTTCTGGGGCGCTCATTGAAGATGATGTCACGGCTCCGCCTACACTGCGTTACTATAGATCAGGGGTACTCGAATACAAATCTTAAAGGTCCAACATTTTTTCAATAAGACAAAGTAGTGTAGCTTTACACACCGTCTTATATGACTTTCTCAGGACTTAAAACAGTTTTTGGGGGCAGACCCCCACAAAGAAAAACATATATTGACACACGTAAGGTCATCATCTTAACAGTTTTGTATGCTCATCCGTGAGCAGAGCATCAAGTTGACATGTCTATTACAGCTGAATGCGGCGATTACCATCTTGTTCAGCAAAACGCCCTACTGTGCCTCTGATTCGCAGACTGTTGGTGGGGGAAAAAAACTCTGACGGGATGCTGAATGTGATTGGACCAATGCGTTGACAGACACACACAGACAGTGGAACAGTCGGACATGCAGAGCGCTGTTTGCAGTGGACATAGCGGAACATTTTGACTCGTTACGTTGTGGCGATGTCTCGCAGATAACACATATGAAAAGTATAATTTGCTCAGAGTCCAGAGGCAGTTGTGGTTCGGTCCGGAGTCTGGACTTTGAGGATGCCTGCTATAGATACTACCCCAGTTCCTAAACTGTAAAGTGAGCCAGGCCTAATAAGGCCTAACCAAACCGAGCGAGGCCTGCAGTGTAAATGCGCCATTAGTGATTCCATGAAAACATTTTGTACCCCATACCAGGATAACACCAGAAATAAACTTAGATCAGGTCAAGTTGTCCTGCTATAAATAGATAGACAAAAGGTACTTACTCAAACTGTAACACTCACTGCTATAACATGCAAATCTCTCCCGCTGCCGTAGACGTGCACATGCTTGCCATGACCCCTTAAAACCACTAGATGTCAGACAGGTAAATGATTAGTGAACGACTGTGTGCGCAGACTTTGGATTTCATGGCAGTTCTCATGCTATCATTATATTAGGCACAGTTTTTACTAAAGAGAACTCATCAGTAAAAAGTCATAAATGCGATGCAATTCCAATCTGTCGTTGCTTAAAAGCCAACATATTGATGTTGAATATTTAAACCTGTTTTTGTTTTTAAGCCAAAATGATATAATCTTGTTTGAGAAAATGTGAGACTAGATGAAAGTTGAGTTAAGGGCATTTTTTAAATAAATATCTGTTAAATAGATACTGTCAGCGGGGAAAACCCCATCGCTTACACGGTATGATTCCCACACATTGTTAAATGATAACAGGCCGGATAACAACTGATCCATCGTTGGGCTTTAACTCTGAGGAAACACACAGTCTGCCATCATGAATTTTTAAGTTGGCTCTTTGACTATTCTGTAGACCCCACCTGCAGTTGTTGCCCTGCAGACCTAAACTGGTAATTTGGTGTCTGCTAGTAGATATAATTACACAGCGCGAGTTCTGCGGAGCGTAGGAGCGGTTCTTCTTTAAACACAGCATGCAAGTAGGAGACTATAGCCTGGCATACATTCCTCAGCTAACCACAGGGTCTGTTTTCATGGAGTTTTCAGTGCTGTCTCTCGGTGTGAAGCTGGCAAAAGCTCATCCATTTTTAAGGTCAGCTGTGTAGGTAGAGTTGTCTTTGGCATATCTTTCAGGATGATTTCAAGACTTTCAAAAAGGCCTTGAACCCTGACTATAAACATAATACAGAAATGTGTCAACTAATGAAGATTTGCACGTGGCAAGCCTCATACATTCTTCCAAAATCGAATATAAATACGCAAAAATAACTTTATGGAAGTTGTCGCATGATGGGCAACCGATATCCCTGTCTAATTATATAATAATCATCTGTTGGTCCTCTCATTACTTTCAAATGATGAACTGTTATCACCCAGTTTGAACTTCACTTTCAGCTGACAATAACTGGTACCGTGCGATGGCCCTTGATGTCGGAGAGAAGGAGATGAGCGTCGTCTACGCAGATTACGGTAACACTGAGAAGGTTCCTTTCTCCCGTGTCCTGCCCATCCCAGCGCGCCTGCTGCAGCTCCCCTTTCAGATCACTCGCTGCACCCTCACTGGTGAGGCTCAGGATGAATGAATGAATTATTTCCATCTTGACCAGTATTAAAAGTTTAGTTTCTAATCACTTCTCCACCCTCCACTCTTTGTTTCTAGGAAAGGAGCACTTCCCTGCAGTGTTTCCAGAGGCGTTGCAGCAGATGTTTCACAGCCTGCTGCTGAGCGGCGTCCTCGCCACGGCCCAGTCGTTCGACGGCTCTGTTAACGTGCTCTCTCTCAGCCAGCCCCCGGAGACGGGCGGGGGGGACTTCACCGCCATGCTGCTGAAGGCACTGCAGGCCCAGGCCAAGAGCCCCCCATCTCCCACCCTGAAGGCTGACCACACTGACAGGAGCACATCTCCTGCCAACAGTACAGCTGCACCTGAGTGCCCCCTGCTCACACCTAAACCTGAAGCCCAAAAGGCGACGGAAAACACACCAGCTACCCCCAGCCTAACCATGACCCCAAAGGCGTCCCCCCAGACTCCCCAGCAGAACAAAAATACTCCAGCAGTGTCAGTCAATGGTTGGTCAAATCACAATTTCGATGTTTGTATTATTATTTAGCGATTCATCTTTGCTTTAAGGGCTTACTTGGGTTCAAAATACTGGCCTGATTACCTGGGTCATTAATTGATATAACACTTGAATTCATTCTAGGATGGTTTATGTATTATGCTGAAGCTAACAGCCGTTGTAATGGTGTCTCTCTTTTCAGAAGATCCAGTTCAGAACATTATTGCGCAAATGGAGGCTCCATGCAAAACCTCAAAAACTGACGGTATGCTTTTAAATAAGATTAATGATCAATGTTTACAAAAGTTAGACTTCTATCCCACTTTGGTTTTTACAATGAGTTTGTGACTGATCAAGATTGTATAGCTTCACCTTTGCTTTTCTGTCTAATTAGATTCTCAGATTCCTGGCTGCTGCTGTCTGAACCTGACGACTAAGGTGGTTTCTCACACATTCTTTTAGAAAGCATCTTTGTTGTTTTTAAAGCAGAGTTAATAACCATCTTTCACATAACACCATATTGTTATTCATGCTAAGAAGTAGCTTGAGCTGCATTTGACATACAATTGAAATTTGAATTGCAAATGAATGACATGTTTTGTTCCCTTTCACAGATTGACCACCTGGAACATTTGGTGCAGGAGCAGCTGTCTCTCATCCGGCAGTTAGTCGGAAAGACAAAATAAGATGTACAGAATTCCATTAGTCTTTTAAATCCAGTTCGCTATATTGTTAAAAATAAATTCTGTTATTATATTTCTTCAAAACAAGTTAAATGTGGATGTGGCAGCTATCCAGCTCTTAATTTAGCTTTTCTAATTTAATTTCCATATCCAGTGTTTAATGTTTTAACCTGTGGTTATTTTATGTTTTAATATTTTTGAAAGTTTTCATAAAAAAAATGCTTTATGCACCTATTACGTTTGTTAAAGTTGCCAGAAAATCAGCAACAAAAGATGTTACCTCAATTATCCCAGCCTGTGTTTGTCTCCTGTAAGTGTGCTGTAGCACGCGGTGCTGTCATCTGTTCCTCTGTTCTGTCCTAATCACATGTTAAGGTGGGACTTCAGCCTGATTGATTTATGTTTGACATGTGTTTCAGTCTTTACATAAAGGTTCTCTTGACAGTGAACTGTTGAAGTTTATTGTGTGATGTTTGTGAGGGAAACATTTATTTTGAATACTTTGTAAGTAATTGTACATAACACATTCAGTCTAATACAGGTAAGATCGAACTTTCTTGTCAACTTGGAGTGCTGAATCAGAATACCTTTTATTAGTCCCACAGAGGGGAAATGTGTAGTTGGCTACAGCAGAAAAAAGAGCTTACAGTTACATGCATTAAAAAGTACTAAGTTATGATATAATATATTTTTTTAAAGTTACATAATTTTCAAAATACACATCATGTAACAACAAACATAGAGAATGTCAAAAATATTTAAAATTAAGTCATAGTTAAACGTTTACAATGCGTCTGAGGCACTCCCCCACCCCCCCATACTTGGCCTGTGCGCGAAGAGGAGGACAAATTAGACCCTACCGGTGCAGGTACATCAGAGGTGGGCATGGCGAGTAGGTGGGGTCGCTGCTCTCCAGATTGTAGCAGAAATCCCCAGAGGATCAGACCAGTGCGGAAACAGGTGTGGGGAGCCGGTTTGGACTGCTGTCCGAAGGAAAACAAAGGAGCACTGAATAGCGCATGGTAAGTGGAATCATTTAGTCGCGTTTAGAGGAAAAGCTTAGTTGCGGAACCTGCTGTTGTGCAGCATGTCAGATTTGGATGCGCTTGGCTTTATTTTGGGTGTCCCACAATGGTAAGACCTGCCTTATATTTAAGAAGGTCAGGGTACCGACCGAGTATCCGTGCATTTACAGATGAATTTACAAAGTTAAAGAAAAAAAAAATTCCATCGGTTTCATGTATTAAAATAAACGTCAACATATTACCATGCCGGTTGCAAAATGGACAGTATGTTTTTGTGAATGTAGAGTCTAAAATACAAGTCTGCAGAAACTGGATCTGTGTCTTACGGTCTAAAAGCATCAAAAAGTTTTCCTTGAGCTCAACCTGCCTACTTGGTACTTAAGCAGGCTGACAGGCATCACTTAGTTTGGTTTTAACCTCTTCTACTGTTGCATGTCAGTGCCAAAACCTCCGGCCCCATCTTAAACCTGCCTTGACCAATGTTTACGAGTGACCAGGTGTTGGAAGATAGTAAAGAAAGCTAAACTTGCAAATCGAAAGTTATATTGTATTTGATGGGGGTTTTGTTTCAGTTTCAGAGTAGCTTGGGAAATGTAATTACATATAGGGGGCTGGAGCTTTCCATCCTCTGTGTGTGGTTACCTGTTTGCTCTTTCAACACTTCCCATGCATAGATGCATTCCAGGACATTTTGAATTGTAGGTAGTTTTGGCTATAAATCACAAAAGATGTCACATTGTTGCTTAAAGCATCAACAGTTCTTCAGTTGTTCTAAAAGTGGCTATTTTAAAAGGTAACTAACCCTGAAAATAATTTAAGCCGTTAGAACTTTTTAAACATCTGAGGACTGGTTAAGGATTTTTGTATGAAGTTGGTCCAACAACTAGCACTCCTTTCTAATTATACCATACAGAGCGCAGGCACTTTCCAACCTGCCATCCAACCCAGAGCGGAGGCACAAACATGGCTAAGGTCTTCCTTTTTCAAGGTAACAATGTGTTAGGAATGTCCCAGGTTGCAAATATATTTTTTATTTGTATCCCTCAAGATAATAACTGATAGCCCAAAGTAGTAGGTAAACCATCTCAAGTCAAAAATCACTGAACTACCCAAAATAAATCACCTGGCTGTCATTTGAACATAAAATTGTTCACTGATGGATAGAAAGGAGGAAAACATAAAAATTAGAGGTGGACGGATCCAGAAGAATGCTTGTGAAGAGGGAGCCAATTTTAAGGTGTGTGTGTGCGCGTGCGTGCGTGCAAATAGAGCATCAATACCCCCTTCTGATTATCAGCCTGGGCTTCTCAGACAGCCGCTGCACATCAGCTCTGCAGATCTGTATCTGCAGACACAGACTCCACTAAAAGAGAGCCTCGGTCCTGCACACAATTCTATCTCTGTGTTAGAAATACACACAGCTGTAGCTGCCGGGAGGGTTTCTCTGGCACGTCTGTCCTCCATAGCGCGCGCGCGCGCACACACACACACACGCGATATTATGGCAGAGCTTATCAGCAGCCAGAGTTAATCAAACCTTATCTCTATAGCCCCTACACTTATGTGTAGGCTACCCAGCAATGACCATGCAGAACATGGCAGGTGGGGTAGGTGATCCTTGATTGATGCAATCAACATTTAATTAGGTTCACCTGTGTGATTGATTGACATTTATTTTACATAACAGTTTTGCATTTAGTTGTATCTTTGTGATGCGTATAATGGTTAATATGTTGTTGCAGCTGTCAGAATATTTTTTTTATGCCATATTTGCACACAGAAGGGGATTTTTAAATGCCCAAATGCAGCTCCAAAGATGAACATAATATAGACTCCACCACTGTGATTAAATAAAGTGCTTAATTATTGCATAAATAACAATTTTTTTAAAGGAATAGCCATATTTTGCATTCAATTGGCTCCCTTTCACTCTTCCATGGTTTTTATTTTTAACACTGAGGTGGACCACCCACTACCCACCATGTGTGTGTCTGTGTGTTGTACAGTGAAGTGTGTATTTAGTATGCTCATCTGGACATCCTTTTTGTACGCCGTTTTACAAACACTTACAGCTCACCAGTGCATTGTGGTTGCATTTGTGTAAGTTGCTGTTGTCAATTTCTTCACCACAATGGGATTGGTCTTTGGGAAATTAACCATTCAGCTGTGCAGTACTCTAACCAACATCTTACTGTTTCTCTACAAGCTATCAGTTATCAAGTATGTCTTTTTTCACTCCTCCTTGAAAGGTCAGAGTTCAACCAACACTTAGCTGTGAAAACATGTCGGCTACTTCCTTATAATCCTTATAGTATGTTACGCTTAGGCTACCTCAGTTTACCTTTGCCCTGTAATTTGAGCTTTCCACCTGCACAACACTTCCAGGGTCATGAACTGTATTTCATCATCCATCTCCTCTTGATTGAAGTCTTCGTGTAGAAAAAATACAAAAACATCAAATTTCTAGACAAAAAAAACCCAACAAAAACTACTTCAAGCATAATTAGCGTTTCTCATCAAATACACCTGTCATTCCCAACCTCGGATACCAATATCAATTTCATGGGTCTAAAGTTTGTGCTTCCTATTGCTAAGTGTGTCTCCTTGTTTGTCATTCCAGGTCTCAACATGCTCCCTGATATCCATCTCCCTCTCCTCCTAACGCTGGTGCTTCTTCAAGGTTGGTTCCTTGGTTTTGTTACTGTTTGGTCAGTTTCAGTGGAGAAGTGATGTTTGTATCTCTATAGATAAAAAACTTCTTATGTGTACCCTGCAATGAAAATGCAGAAAATTACAGGTGTGCTAGTTAATCCTTGATTGACTCAATCAACAGTTCAATCAGGTACACCTGTGTGATTGGATGGAATTCAAAATAACAATACAATGAGGAAATAGTTTAAAGTTTTGGGAAATATACTTCTTCATTGTCAAGCGTTAGATGAGAATGCAGCCAGTAGCATCAATACGGGGACCAAATGAAAACAGCTAGCCTTGCTCTGTCCAAAGGAAACCAAAAATTAGATTACGTTATCTTGTTAATCAAAGACATTATTGTTTATTATTGTAATTGTTCAACAGTTTGGGAATTAAGAGTGTTTGCTTGAAGCTACAGCTAACATGGCCTTAAATCTGTTAGATCGTTTTTTTCAACCTCAATACTTAAAAAAGGCTGTTTTTTAGGGTCCATGTGTGATTAAAGTTGAGATGATTGTTAATATTAGGCATATTTTGACAGTGTTTTTGAAGGGAAAGTATGTTGTTAGGTCCTCACAAATACAGTGAGTAAAATGTTCAGTGTGTTGGTATTTGTGGGGGTATATGAGGTCTATGCTTGTGTACTGCGTGGTGTAAAAAGTATGATGCTCCACTGATGCTCTTCTGGTCAACTTGAGATACTTTACAAGACATTTAACGGCTTAAATCACGTCCGCTGTTCTGAAGACCATTATGTTCTCTTCAAAGTGATTTCCCTCCAAACTTGTGCATCACTATAGCATATTGTCAGTTGTTGTCTCGGACCTGAGGAAGTTGGTATTTGCCTCAGGGGAGAGGCGGGGATTCTTTGAGCAATATAATACTGAGTTGTTTTCAAAAATGACAGCTTTAGCACCATCTGAAGTATTTATTACTGGCCTTTTTAAAAACGTTGAACTTGAGCAAAGCAGACCGTTTCACCTTGTCAAGACGCCCTCTTTTCCTGCTGTGCTGACAATACAGATAGCATGTTGCAGTGCTTCACCAGATACATATCCACCTAATCCACCCTGTCAGGTCACATTTCCCAGATAGTCAGTGAACTGATTGTATTTTTTAACTCTGATTTCAAGGTAATCTTCCAGACTACGGAGGCAGTAATGTGATTCTTGGTCATTTTCTTGCTATTGATTTTCCTGCAATGCTTTCATTCACAGTCATTAAAGATACAGTCATTTTGCTAGAGGCACTTGGCTGAACAGACAGATTTTTTGTTCTGAACATTGGGGCCCTGCTGACCATCAGAAGCCTTGCCAAGAATGAAAACGTTCACTGTCAGGAGGATTTAGGGGCTGGACTGACATTGGAATTAGGGGCAGATGAAAGGGGTCATGGTAGAAAAAGGAGGGAACTTAGGCCTCTAAATTGCAGGTGGTACTTTTCTTTGTTCACTTTATTGTGACATGTTTTCTTGCTCATGTATGAACGCTACGGCCCTTTTTCAGGTTTTGTTATTTACTCAAAAATGCTTAATAATTGTAATAACTAGTCTCGTAAATAGCAGTATTATTGGTAGTCTTTCTTAAGTTGCAGATGATGATTTTCAGAGTACATATTTGAATGTCATTAGTGTCTTGTTACATATTCCACCCTATTTTCTAAAGAGTATACAAATACTAACTGCACAACTTCAGTCACAGAAAGATAAGCAGAGGATGAGGACAAATTCAATAT